AAAGCAACCAAGAGAAACATTCCCGCCCCACAGGGTGACTTACTGGAGGGGTCAGGGGAGAAGGGGGTGACAGTTAGTGCCGAGAGGGTTCGAATCCCAGCGTATCCGGAGCCCACACGTAGTCTCACAGACGCAGCTGTCCTGCCCTGAAAATCACACTGTGAGCTGTAGCCCCACTGCTCACAAGACAGCCAAGGAAGGTTAAAAACCTTGAACAATTTTCTCAACTATATCTGTGTGCTTGTATCGAGCTATTAGAAAAGAATATTAAATTCTGGCAAGGAAAAAAATTAGTGCTGAGAAAATCGGCACTAGAAACACTAATAACTTTATATTTCCTGAGTACAAGGTAATTGATGATAGTTGTAGGAAAAATGGGGAGGAATCCAGAGGAGTGTGAAAAGAAAAAATAATAAAGATCAACCCAAGTATTTCACCATCTGGATTGATTGCCATCCACAGTTCAGTGGCCTTCTTTATTGCTTGGCCTCATCTGAAATAATGACTCGACGCTGGAACTTTACATCCATGATCTGGGGTCCTCAGTGTCTTATGCAGCATCTCCATTATTGTAGAGGACATGGGAGAGGAACTGGTCAAATTCCCACAAAACTCAAAGTCTACACCTCAGCTCTGTGTCCCAAGAAGACAGGGTGTTCCTGGGATGAGGACTGGGCTGCCCAACACATGCCCGATGGGCGCTGAGAGGGAATAAGGGACTAGAATGTCTGTAGCCAGTCCCCTTCAGGGACAGGAAGACAGGAAAAGGGCATGGTAGTTGACAGCAAGGAATTATGGCCATTGTGGAAACTGACCAGGACTAAGCTGACCTGGCCTGAAACTGATTGGGAAACTGACCAACTTGCAAGATGCTTGCATGGAGTCCAGTCAACCTGATCCAGGAAGTCAGGTTTAATGCTCAGCTCCACAAACTGTCCTCTGGGAACCATCCAGGAGTGATCCCTGAGAGCCAGGAGTAATCCCAGAGTGAAGGAAGAAGGAAGGGAGGGAGGGAGGGAGGGAAAAGAGAGAGAGAGAAAGAAAGAGAGGGAAGGAAGGAAGGAAGGAAGGAAGGAAGGAAGGAAGGAAGGAAGGAAGGAAGGAAGGAAGGAGGTGTCACTATTATTGAGGGTTTACTGTGTCACTGTCATCCTGTTGATATTGAATTACTCGAGCGGACGCCAGTAACATCTCTATTCCTCCCAGCCCTGAGATTTTAGCAGCCTCTTTTTACTGGTCTTTTCCCAATGATTGGAGGGTCAGGGGAATGAGACCTGTTGTCACTACTGTATTTGACATATCGAATACACCACAGGGAGCTGGCCGGGCTCTGCCCATGCGGGCGGAATACTCTCGGTAGCTTGCTGGGCTCTCCGAGAGGCATATTGTTGAGTGTTACAAAGGAATAAAGCAAGTCTCATCTTGAGAGACCTTGGCTCTTGGGAAAGAAAACCCCAGCATTGTCAGCAAGACCGGAGGAGCCTATGTCCCCGCCCAGAGGCCATCACACCAGAAGGGAGACTTTGAAACCCCCTCTCTGCCTGCTGAGCAGCGGGGGCCTCAGTTTCCACAAACGCAAACTGATGATGGCAGCTACGGAGAGGAGGGACCGTGTCAGGTTTCCCTGTCTCTCTCATGATGAGGTGCAGAGGAAAACCCGACACGCCCAGAGGCGGGGAGTATCAGAACAGATTTTTGGGGTTCCAATAAATTCCAGGTCTCCTGGCCATGCCATGCAATGAGGAAGGCTGCGTGTCTGAGATCCCTTCCCGGCCCCCACATGCCAGGCAGCATCTCACAAACCTCTGAACTTATCACCTCACAGGCTCGGCACGGCTCAGAGATGCCACTAACCAGCCTTACAGTGCAAACAGGGCGTATGTGGTGATTTTCAATTTCCTGCCACTCCCACGTCACCCCTAAATGGGAACCCAAACTTTCAAAGGCTTTGCCCGCCAGAGCCAGCGGTCCATGTGGGGAATCTCCAGGCACTATTGGGGAAACCGAGGCAGGCCGATTTGCACCGGTGACTCAGCTTCAGGGACTTGAAGGGTCTGGGGAGACCCAAACCCACCCACCCAGTGCAGGATGAATGCTCAGCAGGCCAAGTCCCAAGGGTGTCCAGGTGCGGGAGATGACTGTCCACTCTGCACACAGCTCTCGTAAGTCGGAAGAGGAAGGCAGGGAAGCTGGCGTGGCTGTGGGGCTGCCCCCTGGGGGAGTAGAGATGTCCCATGCCAGCACTCAGAGCCAGAAGCCTCTAGTTGGTGAAGAACTTATGGCCACGACCTGCAAGTCTCCCCTGCTCTGCCCCTAATGACACTAAGAAACATCACCAAAGCCTCCAGCTACGGGGCTGGAGCAATAGCACAGTGGGAAGGGCATTTGCCTTACACGTGGTCAACCGGGGTTCTATTCCCAGCATCCCATATGGTCCCCTGAGCATGGCCAGGGGTAATTCCTGAGTAGTGCAGAGCCAGGAGTAACCGCTGTGCATCGCCAGGTGTGACCCAAAAAGCAAAAAAAAAAAAAAGCTCCCAGCTGGGAGGGCACCCCAGACCCCCACCAAGCACCTGCCTGTCTGACCCTCATTGTGAGCGTTGGGTCTCGGGGCTCCTTGCAAGCCCTGCCCCCGAGGCTGGTCCCTGAGAGGTGAAGAGAGAGAGGCTGGAAGGCCCAGGACAAAGCCGAGACTGTGGGTGCTGAAGGATGGCCAGGCCCTCTCTGGGTATCTCCGGCCCCCACTGGCACCCAGAGGGCGTCTCGCCACATCAGGAAGCCTCACCCAAGCACTACAGGCATACAGGCAGCATGTGTGGACCGCAGGAGGGCTGAGAGAGGAAGGGGGGGTACACAGCCCCCAGCCCATGGCCCAGAGCCACTGCCCATCTTCCACTGCCCACGTCTCACCTGTTCCCCACTCAGGGCCCTGCACAGGTCCCTCCTCCACAATGGGAAGAGGCAGGAAGACACTGGACACTGGCCTGGGTCTGGCTCTAGAGAGGGATCAAAAAGCCGACCCGGGTCGGAGCAATGGGACAGTGGGGAAGGGCGCTCGTGAGGCACGTGTCCAACCCAGGTCAGATCTCCAACATCCCATAGTGTCCCCCTGATGTCAGTGGGCTCCATGGGTGGCTTATGTGAAGCGGGAAGGAGGAAGACGGTCACTTTCTCCCGATCTGCTTCTGCCACCTGGAACCCAGGGTTACTGGGTTCTTGTCTCACCTCGCAGAAAATAATTTCAGGAGTAGACAAGCAGTGAAGTAAAACAGACTTGATTTGAAGGTGTTGAAGGGAAGAAGGAAGAGAAAGTGGGAGAGAGTGGAGCGTGCTCACGAGAGAACCCGGGCTTCTCCAAGGGTGGAGAGAGCCCCCCACACATCCCAGCATTAGACATAAAGGCATGAAAATACACATCTCAGGAGGGGAGATGCGGGATACACTTGTGCTCAGGTGCCACCTGTGCTTGGCCACGTGGGCGCAAGCAGCACATGGGCTCAGGCATATGGCGTACCCTTCCTTTGTTCAAGGTGGCTTTTATAGGGTTTTTCCAACCTGTCCCCACTTGGGGCTTCTACCTCAGTGAAAGTCCGTTGCTAAGGAGGTTGCCAAGGGTTGGGAGTGGCGATGGTCTTCTTTGAAATTCCCTTCCTGGCCTTTTGTTTCTGCTGGAGCTTCTCTGGGTCTGTTGCTGGTGCCAGGTGAGACTTTTATCCGCCCTAGTTCCTGTTTCCTGCAAGGTTGGCTTTTGCAACTTCAGGGCTATTACTTCCCAGGAAATCGACTGTCATTGCCTTGGGAGGGGGCCTCCCCTATCTGCCTGCTTGCCTATATCACCCCAAACCCCATCAGGAGTGAGCCCTGAGCACAGAGCCACGTGTCAGCCCTGAGTACTCTGGCTGTGCTCCACCCCCCACCCCCACACCCAATAAAAACAAGACAAAAAAGCCAGCAAGGCTGAAGCAGTAACTCAGCGGGGAAGGGGTTTGCCTGGCACGCAGCTGACCCAGGTTGAATCCCTGGCATTTCATAGGGTCCCCCTCTCCAGGAGTAAGCCTGTCACTAACAAGTGGTGCTGTCACCCCCTCCCTCCCCCAAAGAAGAACGCTGAGCTGACTGATTCCTCCTGGGAGCCCTGGAAGTGAGTTTCTTTAGCAACTTCATAAACCAAAGGATGGTTCAGTGCAAGGGGAAAATAAACCTCCAAATGCCAAATTCAGTAAAATGTTGGGGGGGTCATCATCCCCACCCCTGATGAAAGTCAGCCAAATGTCACTTGTGCTAAGCTGCCTGCTGCCTAGTTGCTAGGCATTAAGGGGTGCCAGGGGGCGCTGTATTTTCTGGAGGGCTTTAGGTGGAGACAGACCTCTGCCACACAAGGACCAAACCCAGCCCCAAAGCAGGCTCCGACCACTGCTGAGGTCAGGCGAGGAGTCAGGCCTGGCCAGGCAGCGGGTGACCTCAGGACCACTCAGGGCGCCTCTGGGACCAATTCTGAGCCCAGAGGAGATGCCATGTGGCCTGTGGGGGCCCCAGGCCACGCCCTCGCCCACCGGCTTCCACCCACTGAAGTTGGCCTGTCCTAGAGTTCCGGGCGATTTCTGCTTCCCTCCCCTTCCCCTGCACCCCTCTATCTCTCCCCACACCCCCTCACTACCCCGCGCTGGGGACTGTCCCCACGTGTCGCTCTTTGTGTCACCAAAACTTTGCGAGCGAGCAAGCGAGGGCTCTGGACAAAGAGCGGGCAAGGGGACCCCGTGGGGGTGGCGGCGGCCAGCTCGCGGGGATCGGTGGGGGCCCCCCGGGGCAGCCGGGACGCGGCGGGCGCGAGGTGCGGAGGGAGGCGCGGGGCTGTCAAAGTGATCGCGCGCGCCGGGAGTGGGGAAGGGCGGGCGGCGGGGAAGGGGCGGGGAGGGGCCGGCGGGGAGGGCGGGGAGCCGCGGGCCGCGGAGCCGCCCCTGCCCGCCCGCCCGAGCCCGCACTCGCCCCGCGCCGGCGCCCGCACGCGGGGACCCCGCGCGCCCCGCCACGATGCCGCCGCTGCCGCCGCGGGGCTGGATGCTGGCGGCGCTCTCGCTGCTCGCGCTGCTCCTGCTCCTGGCCGACATCTCCGAGATCCGCGAGGACCCCGGGTGAATACCGAACCCCGCTTTGTGTGCGCCGCGGCCCCCGCGAGCTGGGGAGGGCGGGGTGGGCGGTGGTGGGGGCGCGCGGGTTAGGGCGCGGGGGGCGACGGGGTGCGGGATGGGGGGCCCGCGTGGCGCCGGGGAGTGTCCGGGGCCCGCGCGGGCGGCGGGGGCCGGAGTTTCTTTGTCTGCGGCGCGGCCGCCCTGCTCGCCTGGGCAAAGTGGGCCGGGGGCGCGCGGGGGGCCTGGAAGCGGGGACCTCCACGCCCCCCAGCCCCCCAGGCCGGAGCGGAGGGCGGGGGCTGGGCGCGGGCTCCGGGGAAGGGGCGTGTCGCCGGCGCCGACGGACGCGCACAGCCGGGAGCTGGGCGCGGGGGGCGCGGGGCCGAGCTGAGGACCCCCCCCGACCTTCGCCAAGCCTGCAGCTCCTCAGGCCCCGACCCCCGAGACGGGAACCTTTGGGGAAAGTCTGCCCCACCTACTGCTGGTCTTGGGGGCCCTCCCGGGGGCGCAGAACTCTCTCGAGGTGGGTTGGGCCGCGGGGCGTTACCACCGAGGGGCACGCGCGGTGGGACCCCCCACCCCCATCCCAGGCTCACAAAGAGCCTCCGCGGAGCCGTGGGCAGATAGCCGGGTCTGGGCCCTGGCAAGCCCAGGACCAGCTGCCCGGCCCCGCCCCTGGGCAGAGAGGAGGTGGGGTCCCCCACGCCCCCCAGGCGCGAGGCCCCTTTCTTTTCTCCGTGGGGCCGCGTGCGCGTCTCCTTTGTCCTGGTGGCGAGTTGAGGTTCCTCCAAGGAAAAGGCCAGTCCCGGGTTGTTGAGGACCAAACCCCGCACTTGCTGCCCTTGTGCTGCTCCCTTTCCCCCATCCCAGGTCAGCACCCCCCCTGCCTACCACCCACCCACCTCCGTGCCGCCGCCACCACCGCGTCCTCCCCGGGTTCCCTGCGCGCACGCGCGCGCGCTCTCCGAAAACTTTCCCGGAGACGCTCCAGCTCCTTCGCAACCTGCCTCTGGCCCCCATGCAGCGCGGGGAACACGCGCGACTTCTGGAAGGGGGGGTGCAAAAGAAACCCCTAGAAACCCAGCCTCGGGGTGAGAGAGCCCCAGTGGTGGGGGGCTTCCTTCAGCCACACCCCATCATCTTCCAGCCACCCCTGCCCGTGCCCACCCTCTTGCCTGACCTTGAAAGTGGGGCCCTGGCTCCAGCTGCCCATCCCGGGGAACTCAGCACCCATAGGTAGAGAAAGGGTCCAGGAACTTTCGGAAACACCTTTTGCCTTCCTGTGAGAACTTCACATCAGAAAGTCAGAGCACATAGTATCACCAACGTGACACCTTCTGCACCAGACCCCAATTTCTCCCCCCAAATAAGCTCCTTCCTGGGGTGCATCCCAGAATGAAGGTGCTTAGTTTGCTATTGGAATCCTGGGGCTCTTTCCTGTGGGGGGTACCCCAGGGACCCACCTGTTCCCTTGGGTAAAATGACCCAGCAGCCCTCGTGAGCAGCATGAGTGGGCAGGACAGAAAGCCCAGCGCCCTGCCTGTCTGTGCCCCCCCTGGGTTCAAGCACACTAGCTCATGCCCTCCTTGATGCCCACCCAGCTGGGACTTTGGAAGGGGGACATCGCCCTGGCACAGTGAGCACTGAGGGGACGGCCTGCCCTCCCACTCAAGCCCCAACCATCCTGGGAACCTAGTAACACTGCTGGCCCCTACCAAGCTGTCTCTAGGAGAAATAGGGGTCCAGGCACATCTTGGGGGTGAGTTGGTTAGATCTATCTTGCCAGGCACCTCAGTACCGGCATACAGCATACAATCAATAAATGTGCAAGGGAGAGGGCCTTCCTGGGAGTGCCCAGTGAGGAGTGTGTGCTGGGCACCCTGGGGCCAGCTGATGTCACCGAAACTCAGGTCAGAAGGGAACACAAGGCTCCCCTGAGAATGCTGTTCAAGGGGCCAGAGAGATCATACAGTGGTGGGGAGGGGGAGTACTTGCTTTGTCGATGTGCCTGACCCAGGTTCAATACCCAGCACCACAATACCACACAAGGTTCCCCAAACCCAGCACCGCCAGGAGTGATCCCTGAGTGTAGGGAGGGAGGGAAGGAGGGAGAAGAGGAAGGAAGGAAGGAAGGAAGGAAGGAAGGAAGGAAGGAAGGAGAGGGAGGGAAGGAGAGGGAGGGAAGGAGAGAGGGGAGGGAGGGAAAGAGAGAGGGGAGGGAGGGAGGGAGGGAGGGAGGGAGGGAGGGAGGGAGGGAGGAAAAAAGAAAGGGAGGGAGGGAGGGAGGGAGGGAGGGAGGGAGGGAAGATGGAGAAGGAAAGGAAGGAAGGAGAAGGAAAGGGAGGGAGGGAAGGAAGGAAGGAGAAGAGAAGAGAGGAAGGAAGGAAGGAAGGAAGGAAGGAAGGAAGGAAGGAAGGGAGGGAGGGAGGAAGGGAGGAAGGGAGGAAGGAAGGAAGGAAGGGAGAAAGCAAGCTTGTCGCCTTTTTCCTTTGGGGTAACTGACAGGCTGGTCTCCTCCTGGGGAGCCCCATCAGTGTCCAGTATCCTGAGTAGCTCCTCAGCATCCAGGCTCTGCATGGACAGTCGGCAATCATGTCGGGTGCAACCTGACAGAGCCAGCCCTTTGAACCACCGGCACCCACCACGTGCTTGCAGGGACCCAAGACCCCCTCTGAGCATTTCCGGGCCCTGCACTTTTTCTTCTCCTGGTCACCCCATGGTCGCCTGCCAGCAGCCCCTAGAACTCGTGAATTCCAGGCGAATCGAGGGCTGTGCCTGCTGCTCCCCCAACCTCTATTGCCCTGCGGGCGAGGAAACCACGGCGCAGACAGGAAGCATCCATGAATCCCAAGCCCAGCCCCTGAACAGTGGAGTGTCCACCTTCCCCAGCTCAGCCCCACTGATGCCACGAGAGCACCACCCAGTTCTTCCCATACCACAAGCCTCAGGACTGCACATCCAGGGCTGAGCCAGGGGCGACCATCAAGACTTTTACCAACCGGGGACCGAGGCTGAGGATGGAGGGAGAGCGTGAGGGGGGAAAGCACTTACCTTGCACGCAGCCAGCCCTGGTTCCACCCCCGGCACCACTGCAAATGCTCCTCCAGCTCCGCCAGGAGTGATCCCTGAGCACAGAGCCAGGAGTCAGCCCTGAACACCACCAAATATGGCCCCCAAACAAAGGCAGTTATCTGTGGACCACCCCGGTCACATGGGCATGACCTGTGAGAATGAGCTGACTGGGAGCCAAATCAGACCATTCAGTGTGGCCAGAGGCCCCAGGGCACCCACTCCAGTGGGCGCAAGTAGAAGAAAAGAGGGGGTCAGCTTTGATCCTCAGCCGAGACCTGCTGTGAGCAGCCCAGCAGGAGAGGGGGGCAACCCTATGCTAGTGGACAGGGCCGTGAGCTGTGGCCTGTGTGCTCAAGTCCCAGAACTGTGGGGTGGAGCCATAGGACAGCAGGGAGGGCACTTGCATTGCACACAGCCAACCCAGGTCCCCTGAGCCCCACCAGGAATAATTCCTGAGCGCAAAGCCAGGAGTAACCCCTGAGCATCGCCGGGTGTGGCCCCAAAAATGAAACAAAGAAAAAGACAAAGGAAGTTTTGGGAGAGGAACCCCACCCTTCTCCCCATTCTCCCACTCCATGCACTGCCCCGTTACCCCGACAACAGGGTAAAAGGTGGAAGAAGAGAGAGCCGTGGCTGTGTTGAATGCCTGGCTCCAAATCCCTGAGCCCGAGCCTTGAAAATGAAGTGGGAGTGAAAAATCCATCTCAGAAAACATGTCCTGGGGGGGGGCAGGGGCGGCAGGAGAAGAGAGAGAGAGAGAGAGAGAGAGAGAGAGAGAGAGAGAGAGAGAGAGCATGCAGGGCATTTGCCTTGTATACATCTAGTCCAGGTTCGATCCCCAGCCCCCGAGGGATCCCCGAACCCCAGACCCCATAGGGCCCCCAAAGCCCCACCAGGAGTGATCACTGAACAAGGTGGAAGCCCTGAGCACGGCCCGTGTGACCCAAAAAAACAAGAGAAAAGAAATCCCGTCCAATGCAGGGCCTCTCTATTTCTGTCCCCAGGTGCTGGTCTCAAGTTGTTGAAGCCTGGACCGAAGCAACAGGGTAGCAGGGAGGGCAAAAGGCCTGGCATGCACCCAACCTGAGTTCCATCCCCGGCATCCCATAGGGTCCTCTGAGCCCCAGCAGGAGTCATTCCTGAGCACAGAGCCAGAAGGAAGCCCTGGGCATCGCCAGGTGTAGCCCCGAAACCAAAAATATAAAAATAACTTTAAAGGGTCAGAGCCATAGTTTAATGGATAGGGCATTTGCCTTGCACGTGGCCGACCTGGGTTCGATCCCCAGCATCCTATATGTCCCCCCACCCCAATCATCTCCAGGGTCCTGAGCATCGCCAGCTGTGACCCAAAAAGTAAATAAATAAATAAATATAAATTAAGCTGTTGAAGCTCTACAAACTGGGAATGTCTCAAAGTGCAGATGAAGAATACTTCTCGGAGGATGGATTCTCTGGACTTGGCCACCTGTATACCAGGCTCTTTTCAGCTGGCCCTGCCCTGCTTCCTGGCCTCCTGGGCAGGCCCCCCTGCAGCCAGACTGCCCGTGTGCCCCATGACAGAACGGCTCATCCATACCTCCGTGTACCCCCACCGCCACCCCTCCTGCTTGCGGGCACAGGAGTAGCTGTCCCTCTCTGCCCGGCACCCAGGGAACCAGCACAGCCTCAGCAACTCCATGTGTCAGCCGTGAACGGGGGTCTCAGTGCCCCAATATGGGGGCAGGCCCCGAGAACCGCAGTGTTCAGTGGCTTGGAGGATGAGGGCTGGCTGCACGCCCAGCTCCAGAAGCCTGCTCCTTGCAACGCTGGGATTTAGGCCTTCCCCCACCCTTCCTCATGTGCTGGTGGGGGCTGGAATGTCCCTACGCGGGCTGCTGAAGGCTCAGCTCCCCAGAGGACCACTCTGGATGAGGCTGGCTGGTGGGCAGAGG